GAGCACAATGATGGTGCCAACTTGGGCCAGTGAAGCAATGTCCTCCACAACTAGACTGAAGAACAAAAAGGACAGCAACTTGTCTGTGCCCCTTCCCCCAATTCCCCAGCGCTGTTCCCATCTCCCAATTCCTCAATTAAAAAAAAAAAAATCTTAAAAAAAAAAAAGAAATGCAACCGATTTCTGAATATTAATTTTGTATCCTGCTACTTTACTGAATTCATTTATCAGTTCTAATAGTTTCTTGGTGGAATGTTTGAGGTTCTCTATATATAGTATCATGTCATCTGCAAATAATGACAGATTCACTTCTTCCTTTGCAATTTATTTCTTTTTCTTGTCTGACTGCTGTGGCTAGGACTTCCAATAATATGGTGAATAAAAGTGGTGAAAGTGGACATCCTTATCATCTTCCTGATCTTAATGAAAATGCTTTTAGCTTTTCACTGTTGAGTATATTAGCTGTAGGTCTGTCATATGTGGCCTTTATTATGTTTGGGTATGGTCCCTCTATTCCCATTTTGCCAAGAGTTTTTATCATAAATAGATGCTGAATTTTGTCAAATGCTTTTTATGCATCTATGGATATGATCATATGATTTTTATCCTTCATTTTGTTTATGTGGTATATCACGTTAATTGAACTAATCTTGCATCCCAGGAATAAATCTCACTTGATCATGGCGCATGATGTTTGTAATGTATTGCTGAAATCACTTTGCTAATATTTTGTTGAGGATTTTTGCATCTATGTTTATCAGGGACATCAGCCTATAATTTTCTTTATTTTGTAATGTCTCTTGTCTGGTTTTAGAATCAAGGTAATGGCGGCCTTCCATCCTCTTAATTTTTTGGAATAACTTGAGAAGGGTTAAGTGTTAATTCTTCTTTGAATGTTTGGTAAAATTCACCTGTGAAGCCATATGGTCCAGGACTTGCATTTGTGCCAAAATACAATTTCTTATACTGAAAAAATAGGTCACTTAAATAATCACAATATTTAAAAAAATATCTAAATAAATTCTTATCACCTAAATTTAAGCAAACAAACTAATGAATATATGAAGCACATGGTATGTGAAACGAGGGATGGAAAATAAAAGTCAAGACAAACACATGACTCCGAGAATCACTAAAGAATCTGCCTGAGTTTCACAAGAGATTGTGCTATACCTAAGTAAGCATCACTGGGGTCCTTGGCAGACTCTGGGGAACAGCTCACCTGGCCGTTTTTCTTTACCATGATGTTGTCACTATGTCTGTCACCAATCCCAAGGACATAAGAAGCTACACAGTAGCCAGCACAGGACAGGGTAAACTCCTCAATGGCTCGGTCCAGGTCATCCCTGAACAAGAAAAAAAACAGAAACAATAAAGGTTTTCAGCAACTGTGTGAGCTGAGGCCGGACCCACACTCCCGCTTCCTTTTTAAATGTGAGAACTGCAACATAGAGCTGCCAGAAACATAAGAGCAGATTATGCTGGCTCGGCCAAGAGAATAAGGATTCACAGGAACAGGGCAAACAGGAGTGAATAGACTGGCTCAAAGATAATTATCTCAAAGATAATTGGACCTCAACCATTCAAATTGCTGTGTCCTGGGGTCATGTTTCAGTGGGGATGGGGTAGGTTCATATGCACAGAAATGAAAGGAGGCTATTAGTTGTGCTGGATAATGCTGGGGCCTTGGAATATTTTGGTTGGTTTTCACATAAGGCTAGAATTCCATATTTAAGAGTCAAGTATTGCATTTCCAATCATTTAATTCACTGACTTAAATTAGAAGTGAGTAATACAAACCCTGTAGAGACAAGGCCCTAACATCAAAATTTGGAAACTGATTCTCACAATTCCTTGGATTTTGCCAATGATAAAATTTAATTATGAATTTGAAGTCATTAACCAAAAATATTTACAGTATTTTTCCCTCATTGTGAAATTACTTAATTTCTTATGTATTAGGGCTTTTCCAACATAATAAGCATAAAAAACACAATTCCAAGCATTGTATTTTTTAGTTTGAAGTGATCACAGTCTTCAAACTCATTTACTTCCATTATAAAAAACTATTGAGAACTTACTTAAGGTTCACACATTCACATAATTACAGAAATTAATACCATTAAGCAAAAACCTATATGCTATTTTAAAAATACTTAAATTCTTAGATTGGAACTACTGGAGGGCTCTAAAATTTGATCTAGATAAGGTAGAATTCAACGTTAATCATTTGTAAGACTTTAGGAAGGCCTATCTGTCATTTTGATCTAACCTGAAATGAAGCAATCAATGACACTGATATTTCCGTCTAAGATATTGATAATTCTAATTGGGAGAACAGTTATATTTGGCTGTTTGCTCAGAAAAATAATGACCAAGCAAAATAAACTAACCCAGAATTGTATTCTTTAAGCCAGTTCAGAAGGGCATCTTTATTGAAGGCTGCTGCAGCAGCCACATTGCTACTGTTCAGCTGAATGTCAGCAATTGTTTCAGAGGTGCTCACAACTTCAATGAGGCCAGAGCGATCTCCTGTTGCTAAGCAGCCATAAGGCAACATCCTGAAAGAAAAAAAAAAAATGGGCATAAAGAGTCACAAGTAACAGAGTAAGTTTTCTTCTGATTTTTAAAAACATCTTATTACTATTGATACCCTTGCCATTACTGTATTATTGTCATATGCAAAAATATGAGTTCTACCTTCTGTTAGGAAGTAAATCTCTTGGCCAACAGATAGAGTAATTTATTAGAATTCCCAGCTAAATGTATCAATTTTTTTTTTTAAAGATTTTATTGGGGGATAGGGTTGGGGAACAGTGTTGGGTAATTGGGAAAGTAGTTCTTTAATCTTCATTGTGGAGGATGCCAATCACCATCTGGCTGCCCATCGGAAACTTGTGGCCTCTAAGCTCAAGGTGCTGTGTTCAATCTTAGTTGCGGGTGGGCGTAGCCACCATCCCCTGCGTGAGTCGAGCCAGCAGCTTTGTTGTTAAGAGTGCATACTCTATCCACTGAGCCATCCGGGCGGCAGCTCAGCTCAAGGTGCCGAGTTCAGTCTTAGAAGTGGGTGGGCATAGCCCACCATTGAACAGGCAATCTTGTTGTTACACCAGCTGAGCCATCCTGTCACCTGTTGGCAACTCAGCGATAGCTCAGCTTGGGCGCAGCATCACTGGCCCATGTGGGAATTGAACAGGCAGCCCTGTTGCTCAGAGCTCGCACTCTTAAGCCAACTCTTAACCAACTGAGCCACTTGGCTGGCCCTAAATGTATAATTTGGTGTCTAGTTATTCTGGTGAACTTGCCGTTTGTTTGTGTAGGTAGACAGAAGCACATCAGATAAAAGTCTTTAATTTTTACTCTAAATTTTGGGGAAGGGACTCACCCTTTATGAAGCACTAATAGGCAACACATAGCAGGCTAAGCACATTACATGACCTTGGTTAATGGCAGCTCCGCGTCCTTCCAGGTGTTCAAGCCCACAACTATAAGGTCATCTTTGACCTATCTTGAATATGAATAGAGTCTAAGTACTTCTCTGCCTCTACTCTTCCTTCTGCTACCACCCTAGTCCATGTCACCATCAACCCTTATTCAATTACTGTACAGTTTCCTAATTAGTTTCCCTGCTTCCACATCATAGTCTGTTCTAGATGCAACAGCAACAAGATCCATTTAAAATATACTGATATTATGTCACTTTCCTGATCAGAATATCTGCAGTGGCTTCCACCTTACAATGAAAGCCAATATGCTTGCCATAACTTGCAAGGCCTTCAATCTCCTCCCCCTTCACCTCTCCAAGTATCCTTGTTTACTTTGGTCCTGCTACACTGGCTTCCCTACTTAAGTTCTCAAAGATATCAGGCACGATACTTCCTCATTCCTTTGTAAGTGTTATTTTCTCTGCCTGGAACATTCTTCCCCAAGACATTTACATGGCTTACTCCCCTACCTTTTGGAAATCTTCGCTGAAATGTCACTTTCTCAGTGAGAAATTCCCAGATTATCTATTTAAAATAGCAACACTATCTGTGATACAATACTTGCTATCTCTTCCCTGCTTTATTTTCCTTTATAGCCCTCAACACTGTCCAACATCCTGTACATTTTATTTATTTGTTTATTGTCTATCTCTACTGTTAGGATGAAAGTTCCAGCAGGCAGGGATGTTTTGTTCACTGCTGTATCCTCAGTGCCTGAGAATGTGCCTGGCACAAATCAGTCACTCAATAAATATTTTTGAATGAATAAACAAATTTAATAACAAAATCCCTATAAGTTCCCAAGTTTACAAATGAGAAACTTAAGTAATTTGCAAAGTCATGTATTTAAGTAGAAAATCCAACACTTAGAACTATGTGTGGCTTTAAAACTATCTTTTTAACCTAACACAGTCTCCAGTATCACTGACTAACATAAAAAGCCTCTCTGGCTGCTTCTTGTGCAAAATAATTTTTGCCAAATTGATAGGTAGTATTTTGCTTTGATTTGCATTTATATGATCCATAGTAAAAATAAAAATTTTCTAGTCGGCTGAGTGGCTCAGTTGGTTAAGAGCTCACTCAAGAGTTTGAGCTCTGAGCAACAGCGGTTTGAGTCCTGGCCCAAGCTGAGCAGCCGCTGAGCTGCCAACAGGTGGCAGGATGGCTCAACTAAAAAAAAAAAAAAAAAAAAATTTCTCAGATCTCTTTAGCCATTTTAAGAATTTCTTTTGTGAATTAGCTATTCACACCCTTTGCCTACTTATTAGAGTTTTAAACACCATCCTGAGTGATTTATATGAGTTCTTTATAAATTAGTAATATCCTTTTCTCATTTTGGTTGTAAACATTTTCTCCAGTTTTCTGAAAACTGTATTATCATTAGAGCAACTCCAAAATGAAATGAAATACCTTAGAAAGTTCAAATAAAAGGTAACTACAGAAAATGGATGGACTTCATGGATTCAATAAATATTTGGGTGCAGCTATGTGACAAGCATTGTTAGCTGCTAGTGATACAGAAATAAGCAAAAATACCAGCCTCTCACTGAAACAATGCGCAATGTACTTACTACATGTGATCTTCGTATGAATGAGGTGTCATGAGAACATGTCAAGAGTTAAGAAAGATCTCCACAAGAAGGAAGGTCAGCATGGCTGGAAGAGAATGCAAGGGGAGCACAAAAGCAGGTGAGGACAAGAAACAATCAGTGTTGGAAAGACCACACAGGGCTCTATAGGCCATGAAAAGACTTCTGTCATTCTTTAAAAGGATTGAAAAAGCCTTTGAAGGACTTTATGAGAGAGAGAGAGAGAGAGAGAGAGAGAGAGAGAGAGAGAGAGATAGATAGATGAATGAATGTATGTGTGTGTTAATGCATGAAACAATCAGATAGAAGAAGCGAGTTTTATGAAGTAGTTCCTAAATTTCCTTCCAACCAACAATTTAACCAGTTTATGCATCGTTAAGCACTTTCCTAGTTCTAGCAAAATAAGGTTGGGAGCAGAATTCTCAAACTACATGCTTGCAGCCTGATATATCAATAGACTGTTTTACATCTGCATTATTAATCTATTTATCCTTTGAGGAATTTACCCTAGTAAGGTAGTTACGGAGTATGAAAGGTTTTACCAACACCCCTATCCTTATCGTGACACAACACATGTAAAGTAAACACTGCCCAATTAAAGTGCACTTTGGCTCACTTTCCTGCCTCCCCTCCTACCACACTTGCAGCCAAACTGGGCAAAAGTTCAACAACTTCCTCTTCAAAAGCAGGCAATGATGAAAGCATTCAGTGTCTTGAGGATGGAACACTCACAATGGGAAGGAAAAAACATTCTTGTCACAGAGACAGTTTGACAGAAGTCAAGCTGGGGACAAACCCTGACAATCTTACATGGGTCCCTTTGCATTCAACTTCTACACTTCTTATAAAGGCCATGAAAACAATTAGTAATGTTTATCTTCCTTTCTCAGACTCAGTGACCCAAGGAGTGATTTGTTACCTTTCCACTAAAGCAAGGATTACAAAATGAAATAAATCATAGTGGGGAGGCAGCCCCATAATCCAACTCTCAATGGATATGTAGAAAGTTTTCTCTGACCTTGACTGACACATCTACTCAAGTCTGAGTGTACCTTTAGCCCACTGCCTCCAAAGGAGGAAAGTGTAACACCTTTACCTAATGACTGCATTACTTCCATCTTCATCATTCATTTTTCTGAGACTACTGATACCAGTGCCATTAAAGAACTGCTGTGTAGCTCTCTTAAAAAGTAAGTAAATCCCATTAGTGCAACTCAGATGTAAAGTGACAATGAAGACAACTGTCCAAAATTTAATGTCACATGTATTTACGGGAGGAGGGGGGAGGTGGAGAACTGTCAACTCCACCAAAGGCCAGACAGATTTAAATATAGAAAACGTATCAGACCTGACAAAAGGCTAACTGCCTATTATTATTTGTTGATCAAAGGAGGTCAGGGTGTTCTAACATAATTGATGGCTTACAAATGTATTAATTTGGAATGAAAGATGCCAAGAGTATTTTGAGACATCAGGGAAAAATGAAAATGATAAATATGCACTTCCATTCAGGCTAAAATGGCACTGTTCCAGGTACTAAAATATTCTGATCAAAGTGGTAACATATACAAGGTACATTAGATTTGAGGTTGAACTTAGAAGCGCGTGTGCTACGTGACCCAGTTTAACCTGAACAGCTGGCCAAAAGAAAAACAAACACAATAGGAACACTGGAGCACATATATTTATAGAAACAGTAAAAAAATGTTTGGTGAGAAAAAGGTATTAGTTTGAAAATGAACTCAAAAGAATTAAAGTCCTGAATATTTTTATAAACATGGGGTCAGAGTACAAAAAGTCAGCAAAGACTCACTAGACAGACAAGTTCCTCTTTCTTGTTGGACACACACTGCTTCTCATCAGATAGACACCAGGTTTATTTCTAACATTCTCACGTGTACCTGCCTCCCTTTGCCTGAGGTCACAATGAACCTCTCAAATTTGAGGCTAAATGTGGTTTACATTTGAATAGAATGTAAAATCAAAATTAAGAGAAAAGAACTTGGTTGGGGGTTTCAATTAGGCTGATAGAACTAAGGGCAAAGTCTCTAGCTCAGTCTTTTATAACTAAGTAAGACTCATTATATGGCTTCAATCTGCTCCTAACTAAAGGAGACCATGGTGTAGTTTATGTACTATCCTTGGAAAGAGTCAGTGAGTCACTAGCCTCAGCTTGACAAGTGTCCCCCATTTTTTATACTATAAGTCAAGTAACAACATTTTTGTCGGAGTTTACTTTTTTCGGACAGGTCTGTAAAGTTTTGCTAGAATGAGCCGGATACTAAATATCTTAGGTGCTGGAGACTATTAGGTCACTACTCAATTTTGCAGTTAACAGCATAAAAGAGGCCATAGACAATATGGAAACAAATGGATTGTAGTTGTGTGGCAATGAAACTTTATTTACAGGGCCAGCCAAGTGGCGCGATGGTTAAGAGGGGCTTGGGATGCCAGAGGGCCCCAGTTCGGATCCCACATATGAGGGCC